CCCAATTTCAGGACAGGAGATGGCAAATTGGCCTGTCTTCGAGGTGTCGTGCTAGCATCCAACATCATCCAACTGTAGCCCCTTCAGCACAAAGGCCGCCCAAGTGTCGGATCTCAGCCTAGAAGTGGAGCTAGTGGCTGGAGATGCGGGCCTCAGAGCTATGTGCGAAATTCCCCATGCCGAGATCTCCATAGATCTCCGCCCGAGGTGATTCGGGCAGTTTTCGCCATTCCCTTCGACCTGGCAATCCCATCGATAGCCTGCAACAGCAATCTGTTAATCGAGTTGTGCCAAGCTGGGTCATGATGGATAGTGTCTGTCACATCCTCTTTGATGTTACTATGTTTGCTATCCTTTGGTCACACAGAACGATCAGGCTCTAAATGAAAAAGTGCTTACTTGACGTGAAACTGGTCGAGTTCCTGTTCTTGGGCGCAAAAAAGACATCCATCTTATTGCCTATCGCTAGCCGCTAGCCATGGTGCAACGCCCGTCACGTGACGCAAGTGTCAAAGCAAAGCCCTGACATCTGCTGAGGACCGCACATCTCTTTTATATCAATCCTCACATGATCATTTTGAGGACTATCCTCAGCTCGCTGTCGCTCCGTAAGTGCAATTCAGCTTTTGTGGGCAGGTAAGTGTTTTTTCGTTGGTAAGGACCTTGGACAAATGCTGGCTGGCTGTCTGAGGCATGACACGACCTTTGGTGCTTTAAAGATAGCAACACTGAATAGCCATCAACAACCTGCACAAGATTGCAGGGGAGTATGTTTTGGAGATGAAGTCTTTCATTTTGCCCTGAATAAAAGCAACGTGTTGCTCTCAGGCGATTCCCTCACCCGCCCGCAACCGTCTTTTTCGAATGAACGACGGGCGACCTCCTGGGCGGCCCTGCGAGGCTTTGCTCCATGCAAGCGAACGAGCCACAACTTGGCACCTGAAAGACTGGTCAGAGTTAAAACAATGGAGTGATGAACCACGTCAATGTCCTGAAAAAGTGCTTCATAGTGCTTGCCAATCCAAGACACTCCTCCTTCAAGCTCCTTCTAGCTTCTTTTGACTGGTCTTCCACTGGTTTTCATACGTGTTTATGCAATTTCCCTTGAAGTATACCCGTCTCTCACTTCTGACTTGCTCATGGGAGTGCAAAACAAGAGGTACAAAATCCTCACGGCTCGTTTTGGCCTCCACGGATGTGGTTACGCTGCCCACGACGACTCAGGGCGTTCGCGACCAGGGCGCCCCACTCACGATTTGTCGTGGGCAGTGTGGCAAGCAATTCGAGCACTAAGCTGTCGTAAAGGGAGGTGGCGGCCAAACAGTCATCTTGTTCTATCACCATAGGTGGAAGAGGCTCCCTCTAGCAGAATGGCACAATTGTGGACATTGGATTTTAATGGATTTTAGATGTGGTTGCAGGATCGTTCAGAGGGATCCAGATCAAATCTCCCCAGCAGTTCTGCAGAACAAACACGGATCAATAAAGGCGTAAAACATTACCAAATGGGCAACGCTCTTTCGATCTCTGTAAGTTGACCCGTGCAGCTCACAAGTTTATCTTTGTGTGGGCTGCACCATGCTAAACCTTTGAATATCTTTGAATAGGAGGAAAGTCCTGCAAAACTACAGCCAATTTGGCCCGCTTTGACTAGGTCAGTTTCGCCTCATGCTTCAACCACCGAAATTGATTTCACCTGGAACGCACCGAAGTAGCTAGTCCTGGCCTGTTTTTCTTGACTGAACATCATCAGTGAAGCTAGGGTCTGCAAATGTCCACTTCCATCTGGAAGGTTGTGAATCTTTTTCAGTTCAGCAAATACATGTATAAATACCAGGATTGCCTTGGTACAACCGCTGTCCACATGAACCCATGTTGATGAGGTGACCTGCCTCTATTCCGGACATGGTCGGCCCAGCTCCTGAGCATGTGACCTCCCAGCCAATCCTCCTATTGATATTGGTGGTTCTCATGGCCGTTTGAGGGGGAGGGACCCGTTCCATTTCCACTTCATTTGGAAAGAAAGAGGATCCTGGTCCCATCCAAACCGTGTCTGGCCCACTCTGATGGCTCCTGGCGACGAAAGCGATGCAAGGTAGGGCATGAGAGGGCACAGAAAACATGAAGATCATGGCGGACCCTAAGGAAGTGGATGACCTTTCCAACTCAAGTGTTGATTGGATTGCATGTGCAAGACACCCACTGGTTTTGCACCAACTAACACTTGCTAGCGCACCTTCACAAATGGATAACCCTTTAGGACCCAATCTGTTCCCTTGCTCTCCTCATAGCTCTTTAAGCGGTCCAGACGATTGTGCTGTGAATCTTAGACTCTGCTAGCCCAAGACCGGATCCTTGATGATGCATTTCGAGTTGGAAGTTCGTTGATCATTTCTGTAGTGGTAGTGTTGAGCTACTTGAAAGATCTTGAAAGTTCCTGACGGTTATTGCTTCTCTTGAGGCTCACTCTGGGCAGCTTTTGATTCTTCGAAGCAAAACGCCATCGGACGTGAGCTGCGGTTTTGCATCGATCGATCTCCGAAACGACGACCTTGCAACCTTGACGTGATCGAGTGTTGACTCGAGTCAATTGCTGTGTGTTGAGGCGGCGGAAGAACCTCTGCAGGTGACGGAAGACATGGAAAACGATGGTGAAACCTTTTGGAAGAACGACCAGGTTCTAGGGCTGCTCTCAGCTTGTTGCAAATTTTCCTACAACCACAGGGCCATACTGAGCCTCCACGGTCCAAAGGCCCCCCGACATCTGGCGCCGGCTTGAAGGCTTTGGTCTCCAACTGCTTGAGATGCAAGCGGTTTGCCTGGCGACAGGGCCCCTTGGCGAAAGTCCCACATCTGTTCTTGGGGAAAGCATGCTTTTGACCTGTGCAGAGCGAAGGGCCAAGAGGCCCACATCATCGGTCAGTTGCCTTGATTTGCTTTGTGATCAGATGAGAAATGAATAGAAATGAATAGAAATGATCTGAGTCAACATCTGACATTTCTCTCGGACAAACCTTGAAGCCACAACTGTGCGAAGTCACGCCTTGCGTTTGAGCAACGCTGGGTGCGTGTCAAAGTAGGCCGCAACGTCGAAGTCCTTTGGCCGCGCAGCGCATCCCATCGGCAGCGCATCCGCCCAGTTCTTACTTTTCCAGTACCAGACATTTAATGGGTTGAGTCACTTTCATACCCCCTGGCACAAAGAATGTACAGTCATATTAATCTGGTCTACCTTGATGTTGATACGATCAATGCTTTACTCATCTGAGATGGTCGACCGGTGCTTGCTTGGACTAATCATGACCCTTAAGTTGTCAAGCCACATTGACATGACATAATGAAGCATAGTGAGTTGCACAGTCCCAAAACGTGGAGACAATAAACTTGGAACATTGAAATGAAGCGTGCAAAGCCTCCATGACACTAAGAACCTACCACTTCACCACTGGAAAAGCCCAAGCACCATGCGTCATCGAGTGACAGCAATGGAGGAACTCTGTACTGCCCACGTTGCAACCTTTCATCGCCACTTTGTCGGTGAAAAAAAGCACCCCCGAAACAGCCTGAAACGATGAATTTCGGCACAACAAGGGTCGCCAAAACAAGTGCCAAGATAGTGTCGAGTGCTGAAAGCTAGAGGCCGTGACAGCAACAGCGAACAGCTGAGGTCTTTCAACTTCAACCACCTCAATGCACCCAGAAGACACTCTCCGGTCCTTCAATGCAGGCTTCGAGCTAGCACTAGAACCTGCTTCGAGCTAGCGCTATGGATGGTTGAAATGGGAATGGGTGGCGAAAACGAGGCCAACCTCGGTATAGTTGGATCGGACTGAAATGAATCCAGTTGCAGTGTTGGCATTTTAAAGCTAGATTCGACTGTTTACAGTACCTGACCCCTACATAAAATGTATATTATTTATACAATATATATAGAATATATATATATATACCCACACAATAAGCTAGACAATGTCTAGGATCTATGCTGGTATGCATAAGCTCGGAATCTTGATGCTCCATTGATGGGGGCGATGATTCAGTTCTAGACTGATCAAATGAGCAATGGGGAGATCTATTCATCCTATAGCCTATAGAAATGTTGTGTGAAGCGAATGATGGACAGTCTTCAGAGTTCTGCTCGCGGGAGTTCATATTAAGAGAGCTCTCAAAACATGATTGCACATGATGCGCGTTTAAAAGAAGATATTCAATACGTTCTCCGTGTCTTTTTTGCGCCATTGCTCCCAGCCCGGGTGCTTTCTGGAGCACCAGTGGAGCAGCAATCGGGACGCTCAACATCGCCCCATTTTTGGTTCTGCCGCGGATCGACTCGCTTTCTTGCCGTGCGGACTCTCCCAGCACAGTCGGGAGCCGTGCTGATCACCAGTGCGGAAAGCGGAAAGCGGAGCCACGCGGGCCGTAGCCGACCGTCCGGACACCAAAGCCATGTCCTGTGATGCTCTGAGATGCTCTGAGTATATTATTTGTCATATATACGTATATGATCGTATATGTGTGTGATGGACATTTGGATCACGTAGACCAGCTAAGGTTGCTATTGTGGGTGCATGCAATATGTTGCAATCATACAAAGCCCAAGTCCTGAAACATGGGGCCACCCGCCAAATGGTTGACTCTCCTTCTACTTCCCCACTTCAGCGGATGTCCTTGAACCAGCATGGAAGAATTGCCTAAACCTAAGATATTCCAAGGACTTGGCTTCAGAAATCTAGTGGGCTCCAGACGTAGGGCCGAAAAAGCCCAGGTGTTGCAACTGTTGCAACCCTGTGCTGTCGCTGAAGAAGTGAACACTTCTGGCTGTCATCCAGGCCAAGTTGCTTTGAGCATGGGGGTGCTGTCGCTTTGTTCAAGACCAAATTAGGTCCGGTGATATGAACAGTCAAGACATGTCAAGACTTGGCTTTTTCATGGTTCCTTACTACCGAAGAAAGACATCAAAAGCCTTTGTCTGAGACCACGGGGACCCCCTTTCTTTAGGCGGCCTCAATGGCCTCTTTCATGGACAGTGGACTATTTCGGCCACCAGGCAAGTGCTGCACTGTGCCTGCGGAGTTCACCAAAAAGTAGGCACTGAAGTTCCTGGGCACAAAACGAATCAAAGGTTTGGAGCTCCCGGAGCTTCTGTCTTTTCTAGGTCTCTAGGTGTCGCAGTCTCTTTTGCAGTGTATTTCGACATTTAGACCAGATTTAGACCCATGTGACCATGTGGTGCAGGACATCTTCCTCGACATACATTCTTCACTTTCTTCATTGCACTGGAGCCCATTGATACCTTCGCAAACACGGGTTGTCTTTAGGGTGACACTCTTGAACAAGTCGCCTAAGGAATCGAAGACTTCTCCACCTGAACCTCTGAAACGCATGTCGGGCACCATTTGATGTCGGGCACCCCGGTAGAGGACTTCAAGAACTGGTAGACCGGATGAGTGCCAGGGCCATTCACGTCCACCTTCTCCATCAAAATAAATCCTCCACAGCTTGGCTGAGGGGAGTGGGTGAGCACATCAAACAAAAGCAACTGAGAAGTCCACCAAAGGCTTTTCGTCTCCTGAGCGGGAATCCTCGACAGGCGCACCCTGCTCCAAAACAAAGCTCTTGATCTCTGAGGCACTACCTGGAAAAAAGAAGATGCAAAGAGAACAAAAACTGGAGTGGCAATGACATTGGAATGCATGAGCTGAGAAGTCTGACTTCCGTCTTCCGAGTCTTCTGGTCTCATTTTCCTCAGAATGATCCTTCGTTGCCTCACCGTCGGCTGTCACCCAGCCTACCGAATTCGGCCGCGTCTCTCGGCCTCACCTGGCTCCTGAGCACCGAATTGGTTGCAAGGGAAGGCCAGGATGGTCAGCTTGAGATCCTTGTTCAGCTCCTTGGCTCGGCATCCAAACGCACCCGCCCCCTTGCCCGCCCGTGGCCCTGGATAAAAAATACGAGCCGCCCGCGTGAAAAACGTCGATCCAAACGGATTGGCTGACATCTACCGCTCTCCCAAAAGGTGTGATTCTCTGTGCTTCTTGTTTCCGGGTCATCGGATAGTGGCTTACTCACTCATCTTACAACGAAAAATGCTTACGTCCAGCGATTGGGAAAAGCTGGCCTGTACTTGAAAGGCAATCAAGCGAATCTATTGAATGCCTTACTACTAGGAACAAGAAACTATTAGAAACAACCTCTTGCCAGTTGTTCAGACTGACGAGTTTGTGGTCACGAAGCCATGGATCTCTTGGGCCCCGAAATCGAATTTCGGTGCCCAAAGAATACTCGCCTGGCTTCAATCAGCTCTTTGTAGTGCTTCTTGGTAAAACCTCATCTTGATGCCACGTTCGTCACCAGAACGGTCTTCCCCTGTAGAGAAGAAAAAGGGATCTCGGTCCTTGGCAGAGCAGACTGTCACATGAGGACCATGAGGATCGATTCTTTCTTGATTGCATCTTGATGCAATGCAATGCAATATAAAATTTAGGTCAGGTATGGTCAGGTCATATTTTTGAGGATGATTCAGCAATTACAAATTGATACTGTACCTCGTACACGCGTCAAAGGCCACTTCCTTGCAAGGAGCAAGACCTTCATCCCAAGGCCCCTGCCACTCATGATTGCTCCAAACAGCTTTGATGCGTGGCTTAAAGCAAGCGGCCCGTCGATGTTTTTTCGCACTCAAGCCATGGAAGCCTTCAGGGCCAGCACCTCAGACAAGCGGTGCCCATGACCTGCGTGCTGAATTGTCAGTTTCTTGATTGCTCAACGACCTTGATGACTGATGACAGGTGGGCTTGGTGGTCAAGAACCGTCTACCTAGTCCACCTAACTCTTGTCATCACCATCTACATCTCCCAGGCACTGCAAAGGCAGCGAGAAATCTGCCCCAGTCGCTGCATCCACCTGGACATGGCTGCCTCACACAGAGGTCACCTTGAGCCCAATCGCTGCGATGTGTCTACGCACGATCTGGAACCAGTGCTTCAGCTGCGCCCAGATCTAGATCCCCAGTCATGCAAGTCAAATAACCCTGCGACCTTGTGATCTTCTGAGCCTCCAGATTGATATGAGGTTCAGATAGGTTCAGAGGTTCCTTTCGGTTTTCTTCGCTCTGATGCTCCCCACGACCTCACCTGCATCGCCTGGCTCCAAGTCCTCACGTGAGATTCAACAGCCAAGCGTGCTTTGCGGAACAAATTTCAAAGCGTTCTGCACTAGCAGCAGTAGTAGGGCCTAGTAGGGGGTGGTGACATCCAAAACTGGACATTCTGACTTTCTGTTGATTCGCTTTTGGATGTGTGGTTCCATCATGCAAAGGTCGCAGCAAGCTAAGCACCATTCTTTTCAGATCACGCACGTTTTCAATAATCTGCCTCCTATGTAATTATGTGCATAACTCTCAACAAAAACGAAATTTAGTTATAAATATAGGAACATAGGAAACATACAATGTCAAAGTTGTCCTATGTCGTTTCGTCCGTGGACCTGGTGAACAGACCTCTGCCGAGTTCGTGCGAAAAGATCCGCTCACCGAGCTCGCTCTTCGCTGTTCCTAACCAGATCTGACCACCTTGGCGCGTGGTTCTCCTCGTCCACAAAGATCATGTGTTTGTTGGGCTTTTCAGCCTCTAAGAAGTGAAGCCTCCACGAGAGGCGACGGAGGGGCGGACGGTCTCCAGAGGTTTTCCGAGAAGGGAGAGTATTCGATCCCCAAATCGGATCGATGTCAAGATCTTGGAATGTTCCGGGCTGCAAAGTGCAAAGTTCAAGTCTGGAGTCTGGATCAAAATGCATCTGTTTGTTTGCTCCATTCGGCGATGCTCCAAGAATTACTCAATTCCCCACCTTTGGGTCCACAGTTCTCTAAGCCCTGTACTTTTCAGCTCGCTTCTGAACAGCTTTCTTGTCGATTTGCTCCCTCATGTTCACGTAGCGGGCGTCCTTGCAAGGACACCAAGACTTGGTGGGGGAGGCACTGGACATCGTGATCAACAATCTGCTTGCGGCCCAGAAGAGGGGGGTTAGAAAAAGAGGATTGTGGGGGGTTGAAAAGAAAAGATTTTGAGGGGTTGGAAAAAAAATAAGGTTCGGGGGTTGGAAAAAATGGGAGCCCTCCAGAAGAGGCCCATAAAAAAAATCGTCCCTCGTTGCGTGGCCAAAGGAGTGCTTGTGCTCTGGCCAGAAGGGTGTCAAATGATACCCCCTGCATCTAGTGAATCTAGTGAAAGTGTGAAGCTTCTCCGGTGGTTGCAAAGGTACAATGTGCTCTTGCCCTTGCATTAGCCAAGTGAAAATAAGATACAAATGCTGAAATGACCCTGTCCCTCCGTATCACCATGTATCACCTGTCCCTCCATTCATCTCCATTCCCGTTCCTGCGACTCGGTCAGGTGCTGCTCCTCCTGTCGAGTGTCACTAGGAGTCCGTCCTCAGGTTTCACCCGGCCAACACATCGGAAAGCTAGGAACAAGGATGCTACTAGGGGCTCCTGGCATCGCTACTAGGAGCAAGGACGCTACTAGGGGCTCCTGGCCTTACTAGGAACAAGAAGCTACTGGGAGCAAAGGGCATCGCTACTAGGAACAAGCTACAGAAAAAGAATGAGGCCAATCACAATCCCGACATCTAAAGGCTCCCAGAGGCCGCACGTGGCTGCTATCTGAACGACCGTCTTTGGGGAATGCATCCTAAACGATCCTGAACGCAATGTGGCGCCCGATTTCCCACATCCTTAAATAGAAAACGCCCACCATTTGTCTGGGCGTCAGCATTTACAAAGTGTGCCATGTCCGCCGTCGTCCCTTTTTGTTACGGGGGGTGCGCTGCGTCGCTCTCAGCATCTGCTCGGCCTGGTAAGACCACACAGTATGTGGTTCGGCTTGCCAATAGCTGGCCGTAACAAGGGCATCGCTACTAGTAGCTAGAAGCTGCTAGTAACATGGTATAACTGTATAACCCTAAATCGATCAAAACATGATCTTGACTAAAGTATATCCTAAAGTGTCCAGACTTCCACATGCCATGCTGTCCTGTGCCTCTCTCAGTTCTGCTAAAAGAAGTGACCTGTGATGCTTCAATGTGAAAAGCTCTTATCAAGGCCTGGTATGCAGAGAGCATTTCCACGCCTACCCAGCAAAGGCAGAACGGATGCACTTGATTGGGACACGGAGACTGATTGTTTCCTACTTGCACCGCAACATCACGGGTCCTATCCCAAGCAATTAAGTCTGGGCTTTGTCATTACTAGCTTGCCTGAACCTTCTTCAACTCGCCTATCCTCACCTAGTGCCTGGGCAGTATGAGCATATTCCAGCAAACCTTGGACTCCAAGTCTGTTGATATCAGGAGCTTGAGGTTACCTAGTCCAGAAGTTCGATGCAATTATGGTGTAGTCATTGTAATCCAACATAAATCCATGTTGTGTTGAAACATCTTCCGCATAAACATTGAGACAAACCAGCATGGTTGCATTGATCTCCCTTGTCAAGCCTCCACAAGCTTGGCCTTTGTCGGAACCAAGCGCATAGACCGTCCATTGTTGCATCCAGGCATCCTGAGCGAAACAACCAGGTCCCATGAGACCGTCTGGGACCATCTGGGACCATTTCTGCTCGGTATTCTGCTCAGTGAAGCTGGTACGCAGTTTTTTGCACGAGTCATTGGATTGCTCTACTCACGAGTCAGGGCCACACGGCGAAAAAGGCACGGATGGAAAAGATTCGAAAAGTACATGCCCCGTGCGTCAGTGCATCACTCACCATTGACACTTGGGCTCCCAACCTTTTCTAGCTTGTGCTTCTTCAGGTCTTTCAAGAGCCACAAGACCTCCATCGATGGACAGTCTCAACGGCACGATGTTTGGACAAAACTGCTTTGGCAAGTGGTGCATGTCAGCGAAGCGGCGGAGCTCGAAGTGATTTGCATTCTGCGCCTTTCTTCAGTCCACATTAGGTGCTGTCTTCACTGATCTCAACAAATGAGCATGGATCGATTCTAAGTTTAACTGTGAGATGTCAAAGGAAAAGCTGATGTCAATGCCCCACGAAGCTTTTGAGTATCCAAAAACTTCGTCGCTGTCGCGCTGGCGTGTCAGTTCCGCGTCTGGCATTGCGTCTGGCGTGGCGTTACGGGTGCATCCTGCGTCACGATCGCTCGATAACCGAATCGCACCTCGACCCAGCGCCGCGACATGGCGCACGCCGCCACTTGGGCACCATAGGCAGGCACCTGAAAAAGACCGACCCGATGCCACGAGGGAAACTCAGCGTTCGTAGCGTCCGATCGCTCGGTTCGTAGCGATGCCCTTTGTTCCGTTCGTAGCTTCTTGCTCCTAGTAGTAAGGCCAGGAGCCCCTAGTAGCATTCTTGCTCCTTGCTGCTAGTAAGGCCAGTACCCAAAACAGTTGAGATTCTCTGAATCTCTTGGTCTCCATCCTCCAAGCTAGTACATCCATTTAGTCCAGGTCAACCCAAGTCAACAAAGCTTGGAGATGGCAGTGAGATCCTATGAATCAGGAAGTTTCAGCCGAGGGCCTGACATCCCTTGAAAAGGTGTCCGAGGTTCGCAAGGATCTTTCCTCAAAGCATGGCCATCTGGAATTGATGCCAAAAAGCATGGCCGTAGATCACATGTTCTGCCGTTCCAACCCCAAACAAAAAGGATCAAAAATGGCGATGGCAACCGCTGAGTCGGAAAGGGAGCACCTTTCTAGACATGTAGTCTTTTCCTACTATACAACTGCATAGGCAATATAAAAAGAAGTTAAATAAGCTGATACCTGCATGTCAACAGGTGGCTGTGGATGGTAAGCTCTTCTCAGCCGTATGTCGAATCGAAACCATCATCTCAGAGCTTGGTGAAGCTGGTTAATTCTGCGAGGATGCCGTCTGCGCAGAGAATTAATGCAAAAGAACTTTATAGGAGAGGGTCAGAACCTGAAGCCCCAACACCATGTAGCTGGACCTTCCATGTAGCTTGATCTTTCCGCTACGGCTCAAGAAGGCATAAATTGGCCGTTGCAGTAACCACAGGCATTCAATTCCACCGCTTCGGTGTTGGCGGGCCCATGCCCCACCATCGGCTTGATCGTGTTGGCGTTGCCGAAAAAAACGTCGGTCTTTGAGAGAACAATCAGACGCATTGCGAATCATTCTTCAGTACCTCTAAGGTTTCACAGAATCAATCCCCTCTTGTACCACACTACCACAGGGTCCAATAGTTTGGTGAAAGTGGGATGGGGACATACTTACACTGGAGAGTTCCCAATTGGCAGGCCACTCATAAGACCGCCAGTTGAGGTATGCCGACGATCTCAAATGCAAGGCCCCGCCGTATCACCCAGACGATGCAGCGCCGACTTTTGTTCAACCATGTTTCCATCCGCCTGCCCCACTTACTCTTACCTACGATCAATGTGTTCTGTATCGTAGAAACATTCGAAAGGCATTCCTCAAAAATCAAGACTTGAATTCTGTACCAATCCCTGCAGCTCCTAATTAGATGCCCAGCTCTTTTGCATGCAGCGCAAACATTCGGTCTCACATGATTCGTTTTGTGTATAGTTGTGTCCATCTTGCTCTACAGTTGGTACCTGACAGAGTCGAAGGACCGATAGGTGAAGCGATCGAAGTATCGCAAGTACCGCTAGGTCAAGCAAGGTATCCTGGTGCCATGACCCACAGCCATATCAGAGGTACCTGGAACTTATGATCACAGAGTCATCGATCCATGGATCTGCGGTCAACAAATCGTATGACGCGAAACCTTCTGGCTCTTGGTTCTCGCACCCATTGTGCCATCTGCTGTAAGGCTGTCAAACAACCACCAAATGTCACCAAGTTGGGCCTCGCTCATGTCAGTGAAAGGGGGAAACAGCCTAGAGTCCTAGAGCTGTTTCATGGGAAAAGAGACAAGTAATTAGAGAATCTGAGAAGCAGGAGAGTAGCTGTCATGATTTTCAAAGTCAGCGCATCGTGTCTAAAAAAGATGCAAACAAATCAACTGCTGGATGAGAATCTGTCGCAAAAGCTTCATGAAGTCTTGGAAGTTTTGAAGCAAACGGCTTTGCTAGCAGCTAACTTCAAACACATGGCTTGACCCGAGCTCTTCACCCTGTAGTTGAGTAGATCGATCATCTATGATTCCACTCTAGCACAAAGCTCAAACTATTTCTTCAAGGTCAGCACTGTAGCGAGCTTGGCCGCAGCCCCTCGAAGAGCCAGAACCTCAACTCGTCGGCTCGGTGATCGGAGATGTGTGTCTCCAACGATCGCAGTTGTGCAATGGAAACGCCTTCCTTCGCATGGCTGTTTTTTTGTCATGTCCTTAGGCGTTCGTGAACAAATTGCCTCGGTTTCCGCAAGCGTCGGCTGATTTCGATTCCCCCCAAGCTGGATGTTCAAACATCTCCAGGCGAGACAAGGGGTCTTGTTCATCATCGTCGATCAACGATCGCAGCATGTCTGCAGCATCTCGCAGAGTGCACTAACAGATCCTGCTGGGATCCAATCGCTGCATGCCAGCTGCTTGCTTTGCCTACGCTGTTTTGGAATACCAAACTGAACCAGAAGAGCATCTTCATCGTATGTATTGGATGCGGCTAGAGCTGAGGTGGCTGGATGTGGTAGACTTGCCACGGGCTAGTTATATGGCCAGAATGAGGAGTGGCGGAGCCTGGGGACGAAAGGGGCAGTTTGTCCACACTGGCTATGTTTGAAGTCAACTCATTGGGGAAAAGAAGGATACTTAGGTCCAACTGAACAACCTACAAAAACCTGTGCGAAAGATCAACCACCGCCCAGCGACCACAAAAACAAACTATTGCTGACTACAGTTGAGCTCAACTGTGCCGTCGAACCCGCCTGCCGCGCACGCAGAGATGGCCGCACTGCAGGCAACGATGTTCAGCTGGCACGGATAAAAACCAAGCACAGTGGAGTCAAGAAAGAACCTTGAAGACTTCGTGATGGCATCGTTTATCACTCTAAACCATGACTTGCATAACCATTTGAGGTCCGGAACCGTCTGATGAGGTCCAAGGTCAATCATCTTCCAAGAAGAAACCCATCGCAAAGCCACTCCACATGGAAAGGTTATCTCCATGTTCCCAAACAAGTCTTGGGCTTATGCCAAACTTTAAGCTAATTGTAGGCTGCAAACAGGACAGGCAGCCAGGCACAAGAAAAGACTCCATGGCTGCAATGGCTATGCAAATTGGTGGGCGAGAGGAGAGGGAAATAACGACCACTGCACACACGAGGGCACTCACAATTTTGTCCAAGCGAATCACCCTGCCGCACTGAGGGCAAAGAGTTCATGCCTGCAGGTGGGTATTCTAGGTCTTGGCAAGAGGCGAGGATCGGATGGAAGTACCCCCACTCACGTGCTCACCACAGAATGTCTTCTTCTAGATGCTGCTCTCCAAGAAGGTGCAGAGGACCATGGTCCTCTCTGTCTCTCAGGACTGGGGGGTGAAAACTTTGGACATTGTGAGGAGGGCCCTCGGATTCTCTGTTTTTTTAGTTCAACCAGCAGAGCATTACAGCGTCCAGGTGAAAATGACGAGCACTCCCCACTGCCGGATGGAACAAACGCATCTCGGACCCCTCAGTCGATTCGCCGGTAAAAGAGCACATAGGCTGCCTGAAGAGCGAGGCGTACCCTCCGACTCACTAACATGGAAGTGGACAACCCCCTCTTTGATCCTCTTTGTATATATGAATATGTAGAGGAAAGTAGTCTTACCCGAGTCCATGTTCCACTTCCATGTTAGTGGTCCTCCAAAGGACTTGAGAATCATGCTTGTTTGAGACCAACTCGTAAGTGGGCAATTCTGCACAGCTGCTTGGAGTCTTTGAGATCTTTGAGCGTCATCACAACAAAAACCCAAGAAGAAGCTCATCCCAAAACAAATGCTGGCAGGAGCATACCAAACACCATCAGTCCGCACATCAGTTCCCCATGGGTCCTCTCACCCCCGAAGTGCCTGAGTATCCAAGTCCTCTTCAGTGGCCTAAGTGGATGAGGATCACGGGGCACAAAGTTGCATCGCTCGAAAGCGGAGAGTGAAGAAATGTCTCAGTGTGCTACCAGATTGACGATTTAGTGAAGCGATTTAGTGAAGCCATTCCTTATTTGCCGCCAATGGATGACATATCCGCTGATGCTGAGGCGCTTTGTGGACAATGGAGTCGTTGAAGGTGAACCATTCTCCCAAGTCCATCCCTTTGGCGTTCGGCGGCACGACCACCTGAGCCGGTGTAAGCCGCCCGGTGTCATTAAAGCACGTCAGCCGGTGGGCTCCAAATGGAATCCATGAGTTCTTGGTCAACGGCACGAGAACCTTCGGCACGATCTACTTCTAAGCAAGAGCCTATTTGTAATGTACAAGTATATATTGTATATACAAATACATACATGCAGTGTCTATTAAATATATATATATATACAGTATATATATATAATACACATTACAGTACCATTCGTAATCTACAGTCTGTCAGCGCTTCGGTTGTTTGAAGAATCAAAACCACAGGGTGCCCTTTGTGTGAACATTTGATCTTGGCTGTTGGGCTTGAAGCTCCTACGAGGGTGGACCGCCTTTCTTCAACCCAGTCACAGCATTAGCTGTGTAGTGGCCGCCGCCCACGTTCCCGTGGTGGTTGATGACTCCATAAAGCTGGTATCGAGTTCCTTTTGTGCCTTTCTGGCACATATATTCCTTCGCACGTTGCGGGTTGGCTTCAGCCCGTTGCGGGATAAGGGATACTCCGCTTGTGGGATTCTTTTGTTTTGGAAACGAAAGAGATCAAGGGATCAAGCAGACCGACGAACAAACTCCTCTACCAGGTCAGATTCTCTGCCCGTCCGTTCCAAAGGGACAGGTGCCAGTGCCAGTGAGAACTCACCGAAAGGCATCCAAAAGCGATGGCCTCCAACCTAGTAGCGATGGCCTCCAACCTAATAGCGAGGGCCTCCAACCTACTAGCGTGGACAGTAAGGAAATGGATGAATCTAGTCTTGTACTGTACGATTCCGTCCACTATTTACCCCAAGAACCCTCCTGTCCTCGAGATCCAGCTGCATGGGAAATTCCACCGAACATCCGATCTTCACCAACGGACCGTCCAACCTGCCGAAGCTCTGATGGATAGAATGGGGACACTTACTCTCCTGCTTGCCAGTCGCTTCCGAAGCTTCGCGAGCCAGCTAAGGTCATCTAGGAATCAACAGGACAGACTGAAGCCCACTTTCTGGGAACCCTCGGAAGCATTTCAAAGAACCTAATCCTCTTCTTTGGCAAGTACGTTCCCCGTGCCACTGTGCGGATCGGAACCAAAATGTGCTCAAAGCGCAGGCCTTTCGCGCCCAAAGCGCTTGAGGTGGACGATCAGCAAATGCGGCAGGGACCAAAGGTCTAACTTTTTGCTTTGGCATCGGTGCTCCTGAAACCATCTGAACCCCCTCACGAACAAAATCTCGTGGTTAGCACATCTAATCTATAGAGCTTGAGGTGGGAATAGATTGGACCTAACCCACCTTAGCTGTTTCCCTTGTGCCCAGAAAAAGAAAAAAATGCATGTATATACCTACAGTACGTCTCCCAAGTGTAGATTTATGATCATGGCGGCTGACCCTGCTGTGACCCGTACACAACCCGAATCGCATCTGCGTCCTTGCACTTGCGGCAGTAAACACTGTCCTGAAAGGCTGCATGTGGCAATTGAGATTGCACAAACGGTTTGGCTAGACACCATTGGCTCAAACAACCGCAGGAATTGTCTCGTTCGACTCGCTGGAGAGTCGTGCTTCGGCATAGTCGTGCTATGTCGTGCTCATGGTCTGACTACAAATAAAATCAACTATATATTTCAATTGTACCACTACTTGCTTGACAATGGATTGGTTGATTTCACTTTATTCAAGTTTATTCAGGCTCGCGAGAATGCATCGCACAACAAAAGTTGCCTTCAGGTGAAAGGGGGGACCCATCAATCAAATGAACTGATGGCCCTTGTTGTGCGAATTGTACCCATCCAAAGCTGCATAGAGCTGCAGCAAACTCAGGGTTTACAGGTGTTTATTCTGAGCTTCGACACGCACAAATGCCTTTGTACTTCGTCGGAGTGTGCAAGAAAGGACCTTCCTTGTGATATGGCTTCTGGATTCTAGGATACACCGTGTCAATATGAAGCAGGATCCGGAAGAGATGACTCACTGAGGGGGTGTCGTTCGGTCGTCCGCGAACTCTCTGACGCTCTGGACCACTTCGGCCATTTAAAAGAAAGCTCAACACTCTCTGTGAAGGGACTCATCTATGAATTCGGCTCAGCCACAGCAAACCCATTGCAGGAACTGCCAGCAATCAAAGTCACCCCTTGCTACCAGGGCTACCACTCTCACGGAACAGAAAGAACTCAATCACAGCTGCCAAGAGATCCAAGTCTCCATCTCCGACAAGACTTCCCTCTCCATGCTTTTCGCCAAGCAGGCGCCCAGCGTGGTCCCTGGCCCTGCAGAACTCTTTCGGTTGGCCTTGGGCAAGGCGTCCTTCACGACCTCCGCACGCCTCAAAACATCGTTCGGGCAGAGGGGTGCGAACGAGGTCAGTTCGACACCAGGCTCATCCAGGGTCGAATCGGAGAGCCTGAGGGAATGTCCACTTCTCCAGAGGGACTTGGGTACTTTTGTTGTCACCCAAATGCCGTGGGTGCCCACACTCCAGTGTCATGACCAGGACTTCGGACTGTCCAATTGCCACTGGACTGGTGTGACAAATACGGGCAAAAAAAAGGAAAACGATAGTTCGAACCATAAAGGCAGGTGATTTGCATCTGACCACAATTCAAGGCCCAAGGATTGAACCAAATTGGTTCTGTAAGGGTTGCAGCCAGCAGGTTCTGCAATGTGTTGGACTGGACATGGCCGCTAAGTTGATGTCAATTCAGGATTTGACGGCTGAAAATAGTGACCATAAAGCCTGGCTGGATTCCTGCAACACGACAGCCTCAACCCAACTAGAACATTAATGCTGCCAAGTTTGCCAAGACCTGGAAACTAGATACTCCAAATATATCCAAATATATCATTCATGTCATAGGCATAAACGTAATGCAACAGAGCATGTCAATTTACATTTGCCACGAACACAAGGACCAACAAGAAAACTGTACGTCGAAATCGAATGCTCACGTCGAAATGTGCTGGGGAGGGATGTCTCCACTGTGACTGTGCAAAATGTTCAAGCCAGCCTCATACCTAGCACCGAGGCTTGCTACTAGGAGCAAGGGCATCGCTAATTGAGGCTCCTGGCATCGCTACTAGGAGCAAGGGCATCGCTACTAGGAGCAAGGGCGTCGCAAGTACTTCTAGGATCTTCTAGGTGCTTCTAGCTCTCCAATTCATCCTTGCTGCGAGGCGCTGGTCGAAATCGATCGCAAGTTGCTGAGGGACTTGGAAGGGTGCGTCATCATCTGTGAGGAGATCTCCTGCAGGCCGCTCTGATGGAAACGGGACAAGGAAAAGTGAACCAGTGCCTCTGTGTCACTGGACCCAAAGATTGAAAAAGTTTGCGATTGCAAATGCACTCTTTGCAAACATCTCTCCTTTTCCCTCTCCCTCCCTCTCTGACTCTCTGACTCTCTGACTCTCTCTCTCTCTCTCTCTCTTCCCCGTAAGTGGTGACCCCTCTTCCAATCGAACGCCGGCCTGCGCGAGACGCGTAGATGTCCAGGTTCGTCAACAACTCGAACGTCCAAGGCGGCTCGACGCGACAGGCCTCCAAAAGCTCTTCTGCTGCTGCCTGCGGGGCCGCTCGAGTCAACGTCGCGGGATGTTGTCTGACCCTGCCAGTAGGTCTGGTCGGCCTTGCCACAAAGTTACCAGGGTTGCCAGGGAGAGACGCTTCT